AAAATAAATAATGATACCATAATATCATTTATATAAAGCAGTGGTACAAATATTCTATACCTACTGTCTAAGAAGGAACTCAGACAGTGTACTCTGTCAGGAGTTGCGCTGCGAACTGAAAGGCTAATGACTCCATGACAGGTGAACAATCTCCTCCTGCGCAGTTTACAGCCTCTGAAACCTCACTGGAGTTTATTTTGTTATTGTTGTTGTGATGCTGTTTAATATGATAGCGTCTACTTATACATGGCTATTGAGCACTTAAAAATGGCTCTTAATGCTGAGGATCAAATTTTTAATTCTGTCAATTTATTTAAATAATTACAGATGGGGTTCTATAATATTTACTGCATTCCTTTAGGAGTCTTATGAGACTGGAGTCTCCTGACATCTCTATTCTATCCTTTTCAATTTTGTAACTTTGTATGTAACCTATGGAGTGATGATTTTACACCATTGGGGATATCTTACTCCTCAATAGCTTTTTATTTAATGGCTTTAGGATCCATTAATGAGCCTTTCCTTAATCGGCTCTTATAATGGAGGTTATAAAGTGATGATTTTCTAATTTTATCTTTTCTTTTACATTTGTTAGTAGGCATTCTTCAATGAAATAAGGATTTCCAGTTTCAACTCCTTTTTTTCTTTCTTCCCTCTCTCTCTTAATGTCATTATGGATTTGTGAATTTTTAGGCTGTTATTATTAACTGTTCATTGGGTTTTCAGAAGCCTGTTATTTAAGAAGTGGATGTCCAATCCTGCTTCCTTGTCTGTCTTAATCTGGGAGCTCTACTAAACCTGTCCACCATGGGCGACATTTATGACATTTGACATATCAGTGGCATAGTTTTCAGCATCACAGCAACACGCAGGATATCTCAGTACAACAAATTGACAGACAAGTGCTATACTGATTAGAACAATGTATTCCAAATACAACAAAATGACAATTTATTGTTGTCTCTAATAGCAAATCAGCCTTCATACAAAAAGACCTGCCTTCTGGATCCCAACTGCTTTAAATAAGAGGCTTCCAGCCCCCAACCACCTGTTAATAAAAAGGCCTACTTTACTCATCTCAGCTGCTTTAAATAAGAGGTTTCCAGTCCCCAATTGACTGTTAATCACAAAGACCTACCAACTGGGTCCTAGTTGCTTTAAACAAGATGCTCCCAGCCACTAACCAACTGTTAATCAAATAAAAAAGGCCTACCCTCTGGATCCCAACTGCTTTAAATAAGAGGCTCCCAGCCCATGACTGACTGTCATGACACAAACATGAACAGTTCAGGATCATGGATAGTTAAAAGGTTAGAGGTAGAGCCCAGATTGGAAGTCAGTTAAAATGAGGAAAAGTAGTGGCAAAAATCCTCTAATAATTGGAACAAGGAATATACCGTTCATGAACCATGAATGTCATAAGTTGTGAAAAGTAACATGGAACCCATGAACACTTACATAATCTAGGCATTAGTGTGATGAGTTGGACTAGCTTGGACATTTTTAATCTAATAATCACATGGTATACTATGCTGGGAAAGAAAACAGAAAAAAAATGATGTTACATTCATAGTAAAAAAAAGTCAATTTCAAGTTCTCTCATGTTGTGAGTGATAGGATATTACCCATACACACACAAGGAGCTGTAGCCAAAGAGGAAGAAATTAAAAATTATTACCAAATCTTACAGTCCAAAATTGACCAAACATGCAATCAAGATGTGTTAATGTTGATTGGTGACTGGAATGCAAAAATTGGAAATAATCAAGAAAGAATGGTAGAAAGTACAGACTTGGGACAGAAATGAGGCTGGAAATAGAAGGATCAAATTTTGTATGTTCAATGGTTTATTCATTGCAAATAATGTTCTTAAAAAGGAAAATGGTGATTTTACAGATGGACCTCAGCTGATGGGACGCTTATGTCATTTGCATAACACAGGTTGTTGATTCGTCTTCTGATTCTTATGTCACCAAAATGGATGTCAGAAGAAACTATGTAAAGCCAAGACTCTGGGAAAAGATGCAAAAGTAACAGAGCTGAATAGAATATTTCAAAGGGAAACTCGAGAAGAGAAGCAAAGTATTATAATGAAAAGTGCAGAGAGCTGGAGTTAAAGGAAAAAACAGGGAAGAACTCACTTGGCATTTCTCAAGCTAAAATAACTGAAAAATAAATTCAAGTCTTGAGTTAAACTATTAGGAGATGAAATGGGCAGAATCTTGAGTGGTCCTGGAAGCACCAAAAGAAGATGGAAGGAATACACAAAACATTGTACCAAAAAGAATTGGTCAACACTGAAAAGTTTCAGGAAGTACCATGTGAACAAGAGCCAGTGGTAACAAGGGAAGAAGTTCAAATTGCATTGAAGACACTGGCAAAAAGTAAGGCCTCAGGAATAGATGGGATACTGATTGACATGTTTCAACTAACAGATGCAGCTCTGCATGTGCTCACCAGTCTGTGACAGGAAGATTGGAGGATAGCTGCCTGTCTGGCTGACTGAAAGAAATCCATATTCCCCCCCCCCCCATTCATAAGAACGGCTTATCCAAGATAGATGTTTTTATGTTTTAGAGAAGGAAAACCTTTTCTAAAACATCTACTGAGGTTATAAACTAGCAGGTTATGTAACTACAGTTGTGAATTGTGTGAGTTTAATGGTCATCACCTCAGCCTTTTTTTTTTTTTAATTTATATTGGTTTGCATACCAAACTTCTATACATTGTGTTTCAGATTTTTGTGTTTCATTTGATCATTCCCATGCATTGTGCTTTATAAAATTCGTTACCATTGTACTATGCCCACCATTACCCCTCCTTTTTAGGTCCCCACTAGATTTTTCCCATTTCCTTTATCCCCTCCCTCCACTCACCAAATTGTGTGATCCTGTGATTTTCCCCCTGCCCACTCTCACTCTTCTGCTTCCACGCCTTCCCCCCATGAGTCCCCATTCAGGTTTACTAGTTATACTTCTATTTTTACGATAATTGTCTTATGCTGTATTTGTCCTTATGAGACTGACTAAGTTCACTCAGCATAATGCTCTCCAATCTCTTCCAAGTTATGTAGGA